AGCTTCACACGGGTTTGCTGTACTTAAATTTATTATAACTTAATATAACATTTAATTAAATCAATGAACAAATTCGTTCTTTCAGGATACGTGAATTCATAAATTCAATAAATTCATTTATTAGATGTGTTTTATTATAAAATTTTATAGAAATGATAAATATATTCATTATATCAATGTATTGTTTTATTAAGTTAATAAAGTCTGCACATTAACTTAATAATCGAATTTATCATATATATTTTTAAAAAATGTTTATTATTATCATAATAAATCCATGGCAGATTGTTTCAGTGTACATATTTATTGTTACAATAAATTCTAATAATCATTTTATAACTCATATTTATCCTTTAATTCATTCAAACTTTTCATTAATACAATAAACATTTTCAGTAAATATTTAAAAAAAGACGTTATAATATTTATTTGCTTATCATACGAATGGTTTTAGATGCATAATAATGGCAAGAATTATTATCGCGCGTGCCTCTTAATATTTAATTAGTAAAATATGCATAAGCACACAATCGATCATACTGACATAATGCTGTAACTTGATATGTGAAAATGTGAATATTTACTTAACAGGGCCAGATGTTGGTCCATAAATCAACATACTTCATAATCTATACGAACCCTCCAAACGCATAAACCGTATAACGAGAGGTTGCGTCGTATCGAGTATTAAATATATTAATGGCAGGATTATCACAGGGCGCGAAAGTAATTTATGATACCGCAAATGTCAAACTCTGGAGTGCGTGCCAAATTTTTAACAGCGAAGATATATGATGTAAAACGCGATAGACATAAATATGATATACATACAATGGGTCTTTATCGTGATACCACTTTTTAAAACGCGATTGAAAAAAAGCATTAATCTTTTTTTAACATAGATTTACTATTTCCGTTGTTTTAAAATCGCATACATTTTCTGCTAAATTTACCTCAAACATAAAAGGATATCGTTATTTTTATGAGGAAGTAGCGGAATGTGAATAATAATAGAATTTTTTTATAACTTCACGTAACTTATAAATATATACTTTTACTATATTATTTAGCAATATGAATTAATCTTTTTATTAAGATTAGAAATAGAACCTTTTTTTTATATGGATATCTTAATTAAGAACGAAAAAAGCAAACAATTACAATCAAAGTTAAATTAATGTATTTAAAATCGATCAAAGATTAGTTAAATAACTAATTCATAGTATATACTTTAAATAAATTTAAAGTACATAATATGACTGACCAGGAATATGACTGCGCGCGACCAGACTTCGAACACAATTAATCTGAAATATTAATGATCCTTTGAAATTTAATTGGATTGTTAATTTAAAGATTTTAAAATACTAGTAGCACCTTAAAATCTGTATAAAACATGTTGCAAAAAATATTATCTTGACTTGTTTCCAAAATAAATTTATTTAAAATACACACACACACATATACATATATATATATATATTGTCAATCAAAATTTAATCGTAATAGAATCTTCTCGTATTTAATTTGTATTAATTAATCTTCTTAAATAGAAATTTATACGCAAAAGAAGATTATGTGCTTGCACAGATAGGTATTTCCGCATGAATTTGAAGTTTGCGGCTTTGGTGACTGAACACTGAGTCTATTGAAATAATTGATTCATAAGTGAACTAATTAGTAACTATGGTACTTGAACCGCGGTTTATATTAGCGATGGCACAATGCCGCGAAGCCTGAGGATGTATAAGTACACGCATAACGTCAAACCGAGTGCACCGCTGAGTGTTTCACGAATCTATGTGAATGTTTCACATAATTAGGATGGCTGTCATACGTATATATGTATGTGCCTCAATATGTCGTGATTAATAGACATGTAAATAGCTGCAACCCTCAGCTATTTCCTACCGCAGTACCTTGTGCGAAGCGAAGGATGAATTTCCTATTACAACAGTCTCATCTCTCATATCAATGTATTATAAATCATTTACATGATTTATAAACAATATGATAATTATATAGTTTATTTTGAAGTTTATTTATTACACTTCTGTTTATTAGCTTTCCATATAAATAAAATTAAAGTTGAAGGACTCTTTATATGAAAATAATAATTAAACGAGGTGAAGGACAATGAGAGTCAATTCCTAAGTAAAAGCGATTATAACATTAAAAATATAATATGAATTTTAAAGAAAAAGAATACAATAAAATACTTAGCCGCTTTTGACACAATTAAAAATTAGAAACTTGTTACATTTTACGACATTTTACATCGAGCGATTTTTTATATTAATATATATTGACCGATATTCTAATTTTTAATTGTGTCAAAAGCGGCTAAATATTTTATTGTATTCTTTTTCTTTAAAATTCATATATATTTTTAATGTTATAATCGCTTTTTTGTTTACTTACGAATTGACTCTCATTGTCCTTCACCTCATTAATTATTCTTTCCATATAAGACATAAAAATTAGAATTATTCGAAACTTAAATCAGTAATAATTAAATCTTGTCGAATATTTAATCAGTAATTAATGATAAACTATGTGATGAATAATCACGAGCAACGAATAACAGGAATAATCAGGGGTTATTTCTGTAATTTATTAATTGTTATTTGATAAATGTAATTATATAATTATTATTACATAATTAATAATCACTTGAAACGTATCTATATTAACGATTAACTACAAAATTGATCAATTATCAACCAACAGATTTAATTGGCTCATTTAGAAATTACGTTTATGAAAAAGGATCGTGATTTGTCATTTACGATGTAAAGTAAAATTTTTATTTTTATTTGCACTATATAATTATACAACCACATATAGAAAATTGCGTTAATCATTATTATGCGATAAGATTTGTAACAATGAATAATTAAAAAGAGATACAAACAAAGAATATAAAATTATCAGATTCTCACTTGACGCATTTGTGAAACAAATTGAAATCCTTTTCGAAGTACGCGCGTCACGTGTCCGGCAAAACTGTCTGTACAGTATGTGTACATACGTGTCCATGGAAGAAAACATTACGTGACTCGCGTACAGATTATGACATTTTGTATGATTTTCTTGTATCAAGTGGATACTTGAAATTATGTATTTTATATTTTCGAAAAGGATTTTCTTCTGTTGCGTAAAATATTCTATGATATAAAATTATCCAAAATTCTGTATACAATATTAAAATCTTTTTCAATTTAGAACATACAATTTCTATATGTGTATATCTAGTTGTAATGATTCTGAAAATATGTATTTTAATAGATTTCAATTACTAGTGACAAAGGCTGATATTAGAAATGTGACATTTTGAGATCTTTAAAATTATTACTAATAAAATTTTTACCAGCAAACGAACGAATGTAAAGAACATGTGAGAGAAAATACATAAAAGCAGCTTTCTCGAGTATTCACCAGTCGTATGGAATAAATTCCCCCTCGAATCACAGACAAAGAATGGGTTTTTCAGAGAAAATGCCGACAAGAAATATTTGCGTGGAAAAATGTACTACTGTCTCTCGGGTTTTAGTCCGCGACAGTAACCTTCGGGGAATGTGGCTTTTATCACTTTACAAAGCAACAGAAATCATTATAATAAGAAATTACGTTTGGGCTTTAGGGTGACAACTGGGTGAAAAAGAGGAAAAAGCAAAATGTAGATTGGAATTATCGAAATTATATTACATTGCACACAATTTATTGCATCTTAAAAGTTCAGTCAAATATAGAAATGAATACATCAACTCTTCTTTTTAATATAAGTTTTTTATTAAATAATTATAAATTTATAAATTTTATTAAATAATTATAAAAATTTATAAATTTTATTAAATTATTATAAATTATACAAAGTATTATAAAAATACATGGTCCTCACGATGATTACCTGATTTAAATCCTCTACTTTTATTTGCTAGGATATTTAGTCCTTAGTTATTATGAAGATCCAATCGTCAATGAAGATGTACTACGCTAATGCATCTTTGATGTTTGTGACACCATTTGCAATTGCTCCGGGATCTTTGGAAAAGTGCGATAGTCCATGATCAAATTCTCTGTGTATCGAAACAAATAAGAGACTTCGAATATTTCTTAAAATTAAAAATTGAAAATAAAAATCATATTAAATAAAATAATAAATAATATATTCTTATTTTCCTCTCTTTATTAATATTTTGAGCTGAGTGAGTTTACGGATATAGCTATGAATTTTTTTCATATTTTGTGGAGAGCTCAGCGCCGAAATTTGTTACTCCACTTTAATTACACTCTGTTTGTGTGTGTGTGAATGTATGTGTGTATCATATACACTCATCAACTAAAAAGTTGCAATACATTTTTTGATGGATTTTGGAACTCGTCAGTCTTGATTGTAGATCGATTGAATTTAAATGATTAGATCCATAAGTATAACAAGAATCAATCGCTCGATGAGCAGATTGCATTCCAGAAAAATCCATCTGAAAAGTGCTGCAACTTCTGATGTGTATAATCGATAGTTTATACCTGTCGTCGCGTTATTAGATATAATACGGAATTTTTTTTCCATAAATTTCGATATTATCATTTATTACAGATTTTCAATTTTCAGCGATTCATATTTCTGGAATTAAGTTTCATGTTAAAATTACGTTAAGATAATATTTTATTTCAATACTTGTAAAATTAATTACAAAATTTAATTTCGTTAGTTATGAAGTTTTATTTGCGGAAGATTTATTACTTTTTATTTATTAATTATTGGTGCGGAAGTATTGAACAAAGATTCTGTTATGAAATATTAATATTAATGTTAATGGAAAATAGCAATTATTAATCGCGATTATAAGAAATTGTAATTATCGCGAATGGATTTGCACTCCCACTTATTTACAATTCCACGATGCGTTATTAATCATGTTATAGACTTTATACGCAATCCATTAACAAGAGCGTATCAATAATATGTTTATATTTCTTGTATTGGCTGTTTCAAGTCATGGTACGACTACAAACTGCGATGGGAGCCTAAAGAGTACGGTGGAGTTCAAATGTTGCACGTGCCGTCCGATCACATATGGCGGCCTGATATAGTGCTCTACAACAAGTGAGTTCATCAGCTACGTCTTGTTTCGAATTTTAATTATTATGGATACATATTGATCTGATATATATACATATTGTAGTGGCACAGCATGTTGCCAAGAGAGTGAGAGAGAGAGAGAGAAAGAGAGAGAGAAACTGAGGGTCGAGCGGGCACACGTTTAACACATAGTGGTTTTGTGTGCTGATCTGCGATGCAAATTGTGATCAGTATTGAAATATTGTACGCGCGTTTCCTTCTTTATTGCGCATGATATGACAATCCGTAATATTGATCGTATGGTAATTTTAATTAAGTTTTATATACGCGATACGTATTCTATTTTATTCGGAAAAAAGAAAAATAAAAATTAGAATAAAAATTATGATTTATGTATTTACAACGATTTGTAACTATTAAGTTTTATTTGATTTATAGTTTGGATAAATTTCATATATTGAAATAACCGCGATTTATTATTGTAGCTTTTAATTGTTTAATTTAAGTAGATTCTTTTTTTCCTTCAGAATTGCAGCGAAACTATAAAAATTTATTTTCTATAACACGTATACATTTGTTTCCAAATTGTTTGAAGGTAATTTTACACCACAAGTTAACTTAAATTAATTTGTCACATAGCATATCGGTAGTGCATGTGCGTACCAGTATGTAACTGTTTGTGATGAATAATGAAACTAAACGAAAAACGAGTGTCCACTCAACCCCGACGAGGAAGGTACCATTGTCGTGTATATTGCATTTCAGAGTAGGACGATATATTCGATGCGGGCGGTACATCTCGCGCCGCGGCATCGTTTCAAAAGTTACGGAAAAATGTGACACAGTACAATTCGCGGTAATTTTTGGAAGCTCGTGAATTTCAAAAAACATCTTCAAAGTAAATCAGATAATAGTATACAAAGTTTCAATCAGATGAATAAATAACGTGCAAAAATCAATCTACACATGCGTTTCATTTTTTAAATATCAATCGCATAAAGGTACTGACAATTTAAAAAAAGGACTAGTTATGTTAAAATATATCGTGTGCAGATAATCATGTGCTTATACAAGCTCTTTGAGCTTCATGAAGAAACAAATGAATAAAAATTACTTGACACACGTCATTGTGTATAAGAAAATTATTCATATTGGTAGTAATTTCTTTATCAATATATACATAAATGCACGATATAAGAAAAACATTTATGTAAGTATTGTTTTATTGGGTGCCATAAACATTTCCGTATTTCTCATTAATAAATAGATACACGTTTTTCAAAGTTTAATGATACATTACAATATATAGTTACGTGAATAATCCTACATGATATAATACGTGCAAAATATTTCGGTAACGTTGTAATATATAATAAACATAAAGACGAAGAATGAAAATTTATGATAATACAGTATGATGATATAGTAATACGATAAAATACAACAAAGATTTTTCTACTTCAAGGAGACGATTTCGATGATTTCAACGATTCACGTGCTTCCTCGATCCTTTGCGAGTACCGAGTGGCTGTTGAATAAAACATGTGCCGAACGTTCTGCTACTACGAGCAATAACATTATTTATTGCGCGATAAATTGTCCCGAGAGAATTCTTACCATAATAATTGAGACACTTCCGGTGCTTTTACAAGTAAAACGCTTGGCACGCAAAATTGGTCCTACAACTGCGAAGAGTTACAGCCGCGGAATTGCGCATCCTTGCTTGTAATTACATACTAGGTCTTCAACATTCCTCACCGACATTGTCTGTACACATTTGCGTAACTTTTGCCGCTCTTGTCGCCTAACGAACGAGAGCTTTACGCGAGCTTTTTCGCCAAATTGCCACGGAATTTGTAATTAGACGTACTTACATCTATTTCACAATTAACACTTTGAACCGTTTTGTTGTTGTAAGTGTCAAGAAATGTAATGGAATGATTCGTTCATGGATGTCGATGTTCGAGATTGAAATCGTTATAATCTCAGTGTTATAAATGAACCAAGATATATTTATTTGCAGCTTGCGTTACAAAATACTTAGAGTCATCTTATTGCTATAAAATGCGATTATTGCAATTAAGATTAATTAAGATGTCAAAAAAATCGCATGTTACAAATCCTTGGCTCACGCTCGTGTCAGGCATGCGAGCGATGTAGTCATCCCATAGATTATTATTCATATCGCATGAAACATGGGCGCTGCGGTGAAATGTTTGCGCGAACGGGTCCCGATAAACGGGACATCACGACCGCAGGGAATCGCGAAGAAATGTCATGCTGAACAGCCTCGATTCTGTCGTCAAAAAAACAATTTTACAATCTTATACAAGTCTATTCAGGATACGATATTCAAGACCGAAAAATTACGCGATTGTAGGCAATAAAAAGCAATTTCTGGTTATTTCTCGATTTAATAAAAAAAAAAAAAGATAATGAAAACAAAGATTTTCATTTGTTCGTCAAAACGATGGTAAAATTGACATGCAGACGATGATTTGAATTAATATTTCGTTCATTTACCTAATTAATAAATAAATAAATTTATCGCTCTTGTAAATATTTATTATATTTAAAAATAATTAACATTGTAGATATTATATTAGCGATTAATGTCTTGTTTGGTTATATTATACATATATTCAAGAGAGAGAGTACGTGACAAGATTTTGTAAAATTTAGGAACACAGTAAAAATTTCCTGTATTGCTTTATTGCTCTCTATTCTATCGCTTGTGACTCATTTTTCTTAATATTAATGCGTATTTTGGTGACGTGTTCTGTATTTTTCTTATTGATTTCTTATAATATAACGAAATATTACTACAAAAATAATGATCCTTAAACTATCAGAACATTTATACTTAATGCAGCAATTATTAATTTATAATCAGTCTACATTCACAGTATATGTATATTCTCATTATCTTGATACTTATTTATACTTAAAAAAAAATTAAAATCGACAGGCTCTAATTTTGATTAAAACGGGATAATAAAATAATCGCAAGTTGTAATACTAATTGAAAATTTGATTGCTCTCTCCCTCTGCTGCAACATTTGGAGAGATTTAATGATAGTGAATATATTATATGTATATGTACTTCGCCAACATATTGTTAAACACAATTTTCATGACTATCTCGATCTGTTTCTGTAACAGATGATAGCTTTTACATTTTTCCACTATTATGTAGCGAAAAAAATTGCCAAGAAAGAATTCTATCGATAAAATAATTTACTCGACATTTTATATCGATCTTAAAGCATTAATAATTCGCGTAAAGGCCCGCACTTTTCTGTATTCGATGCAAAAGCATCGCTGATATCGAATCTACATACCATATATATAGATCGTGAATATTAAGCACCATGAAGCGGAAAGTAAACGTTGTCCGTACCTACTCACGGAATATTTCAAATATTGCAGCTTTAAAACACGCGCGTGTTTCCGATATATATTTCTATTTTTAAAAGAAATAAAGTTACTCGAGTGCGCGCGTCGCGTAACATTAAATAAGTGTCATTTGTTTGAAGAACAATTGAAAGTCAAATAACGAAACACTTCGTTCTCTTTTAATATATTCCAGATTCATATATAAACTTTTAAATGTTTTTCAAATAAAGTTGATATAAATTATATAATAATCTACTCTTTAATAATAATAGTTTAATAACGAAAAAGGCCTTTCATACACAAATATTTTCCATCTCTTATCAATATGAAAATATTTGTGCCATTAATGAATCGAAGGACAAAAAGTTTCTTTTCTTAATAATAGCAGAGTCATTTAATAATAATCTTCGATTTTATCAACAATAATTGAAAAGCATTATTCTTATGAATACCATTAGTTTATTGATTACTTTTTTTATTTGTCACCGTATTTTCGCATTTTCCTGTCTTCGAGCGTTGTATGGAAAAGATAAATAAAGTCAGATAAAAACTGTAAAATATTATCACAACACTTTTTACACTTGATACCATTCTCTTTCCGTGATTCTGATTTCATTTATCTAATATAAAAATTAAATAAATCAATAAATAATACATTCAAATAAATCAAAATTAATTGGATAAAAATTATTCAACTATAACAACATTAAACAATGCAAAAAAATATTTTATTAATTTAATTATGATATACAATTATAGCATATGATAATTTCGGTAGATAAAAAATGTTACTTTGCATCAATACATAAATTATTCAATGGACCTGATATGTGCAAATCGTCATACAGTAGCTTTTATTCAGTTATTTTTCTCTATATGTAAGTTAATTTATACGCACGTCTTGCTTCCAGAAAAAAAGAAGAGACCGTTCTACGGTCCATAAACAATTCTCATCTAACAGCAACCGCTCAACTCGGCGGTTGCGACTTATCGGAGTCGCTGTCAGAAAGCGAGTTCCGGACTGATATCGACTTAAAAAATGGACGAAAGCGTAACGTGTTCTTTTGGAAACGACATACTTTCTACGTGGATTCTTTCTAAGCTATGGTTTACGAGTGATCTGGATAAGGTATCAGCACATACGTATATATCCTGGCCGGAGAGATTGAAATTTTCGCACGTTGAAATTTAAACGTTGAAACCCGCACTATCTCGTGTGTCTACATTCTCGGCGAGAAAAGTTTTCAAAAATGTAAACGCACAGATATAACGCGCTAAATTGACGACTTGATATAAATTTGATATAAAAGAGGTCATATAAGTGTGTCATGCTCTCGGGAAAATCATTTTTCGTTGAAAAAGTCTTTGTGTGCGCGCATCGAGGTCAATAGTTTGTAAAATCTTCCAAGTGCGAGTTACGAGAACATTTATGAACTATATAGAACATATGAAACCCACCTCTTCTTTATTTTTATCGACCAAAAAATGTCATTTAGAGAAAAAACGATTTTTAAGATTTTAATTGAGGGCTTCTTTTGCACTGAATTCTCAATTACAATACGAAGGATGCTGCTATTAACGGGGAATAAAGGCTTAACTAAGTGACCCTTTTATCATGTATTTAAGAG